TCACAAGTTCAAGCAAAATACTGAGGTACAACACATGACATAAGTGATCACTGATGATTAACAAACATGATTAATATGTCACAAGAAGGTTTGATCCAAGCACACTTCTTTGTTCTGTTTATGGCTTCTTGCCAACAAGATGAAATAAAATAACTGAAGTGAAGTTGGCTTATTTAGAAACAGTAAATGCTAATTCTTACAAGCAGCTTGTTTGAGTAGTTGCTTCTGAAAAAATTGCTTGTTGTTTAACGCCGCACTCAGCAATATTCCAGCTTTATGACGGCGGTCTGAAAATAATCGAGTCTGGACCAGATAATCCAGTGATTGATATCATGAGCATCGATCCACGTAATTGGGATCGATGACATGCATCAACCAAGTCAGCGAGCCTGACCACCCGATCCCGTTAGTCGCCTTTTACGACAAGCATAATCACCTTTTACAGCAAGCATGGGTTGCTGTAGACCTATTCTACCCCGGAATCTTGTATGGTGCTATTTTGGTATTATTTCTTATTGTACAAGTTCTTACTTCTTGCTGCAGTTTTCTGTTTGTATCTTACTTTTTACTAATCCATCAAAGACGAGTGGTCAGGAAAACTATTAAATATTTCTGATTTGAATTTAGGTTCAACATGTTCAATTGGGCAGCACATCTCTCAACTACAAACTTTTTAAGTGTGGCCTATCTAATTCACTGAAATATATTTTTAAAAATATAAAAAATGTATAAGTTGGTTTTTTTTTTAAATTTTGGCTTAAAACAACTAATGGAAAACAATTAAAAATTCCAGATTGGTACTGCTACTAATGTATGATAAACAAGCAAGCTTTAACTAACAAGATACCGAAAGATAAAATATTTTTTGTTAGAGTATGGCTTTTTATAAGTATTATTTATTCCCCATTTCTGTCATCAGTGATAAGATCTCAGGTGTTTTATCATTTGACCTAATTGCCATTCAGAGTCAGTACAAGCAAAAAGTCATTTATTTCCTTCTAATTTCAGATATTTTTTTACACACTCATAAACCAACTAAAAAAAAAATTAGGTCCAGGGATGAATACACAAACAAATGACCCTCTATAGAAGGCTGCTTTGATATTCAATGTACATAACTGGATTAAACACGATGCTAAAAGGAATGCTACTCAATGACATACTCATTAACATTATGATTTCAGAACACAACAAATAATAATATGAAATATAATTCAACACAAGTACACAAGTAGCATTTGACGGTACAGAGAACACAAGTTCGGAGGCTGAGAGGTTTAATGCCATTTTATACAGCACAGGGAGTTATCAAGGATTCCAAACTATCTGCCTGTCTTTGGCAGGCAAATTGGAAAATTGTTATGTTGTTCAAACATGGAGGGAAAAAAGGAAGAGAATATATGGATGTCAACTTCTTTATCATGAGGAACACAACGTTTCGGAGTAAATGCTTACTTCTTCATCAGATGGGAGTAAGCATATACTCCGAAATGTTGTGTTCCTCATAATAAAGAAGTTGACATCCATATATTCTCTTCCTTATGTGAATCACTTCTAAATGCCTTTCAAAGACATGGAGGAAAAAGGTAGTTCTTATTTATGTAAATTCAGAGGTATTTTAACATAAAATTTTAACACTGCAGATGATATAAAACTAAGCATATTGAAGCCTCTTACTCTAAATTGGTCTCATTGTCTTTGAGCAGAACAGTACTTCAGTAATATCTCATGTCAACTTCATGTGGGAGGAAACACTGAGAAGATGCTGGTCTTAGACATTAGCGCTGGCTAAAATAATTGATAATTGGAAATATTGTCGATGGGAAGAAATATTAACGATTATCGATATGTAAATTGTGTCATTGATAATATCTTAAATAGACTATTCTGATGAATAGAGTGTTCATTTACTGACTTGTTTTTTGTCCATTTCGGAAGACAAATGGAACTGATTTTGTTATCATATCTCAAACGTCCACAAAGTAATCCATGCATAAATGTATCACCACTCACCAGCCATGTGAAGTTTGTTGTTTTGTCTCTGAGCTTTTGGCATATTTGTTAAAGTTACTTCTCCGATATTTATCACCAATTGATATTTAGTAAGATTTACATCGATAGCCAGCCTAATCAGACATTTACAATTTCAATGAAACACAGGTATGGTGCTGACAAACCAAGAAACTTAATTGGGGCAACCCTGGGATTCGAACCCACAATCATAGGTTTCTGAAGTGCCCAGGGAGACGCAACTCTGAAAAGTGAAAGGCAGCACCTTAGACCATTGAACCACCTGGGCCACACAAGGTTAGAAGTCAGTATCTCAAAAAGACAAGACTTCTGGTCCTGATGATTTGAGTTTGAATCTCTCATTTCGTTTCAGTAAAAACTTGGCTTGATAACAATAAGTAACACAAACTCAGTACCCTTCCACAAGCTAATGCAGGGGTTTATCTAAACCTGCTCTGGGCCGGCATCAGCCCAAGTCTGCAGCCAATGTCAATACAAGTTCCCATATTGTAATTACAAATTTCCCCATTCATAAAGTTATAGTTATAGTGAGTGAGTTGGGTTTAACGCCGCTTTTAACAGTACTCCAGTTATATCACAGCGTGTCAGCTTAATGTGGGAGGAAAGCCCGAAGTGATGCAGGTCTCAGACGTTTACCACTTCAGAGAAACCCATGAGCACGGGTATGGTGCTGACAAACCTAGAAACATAATCGGGGCGAACCAGGATTCGAACCCACAATCATAGGTTTCTGGCGTGCGTAAGGGACGCAACTCTGCACAGCGAATAGCAGCGCCTTACAACGACTGGGCCACCCGTGCCCCTGTTAAAGTTATAACCAACGATGACCAATGTTTTCGTAGAGTTGACTTGTATATTCATTGATAGAGGATCAAAAATATATAAGTCTTTAGGTTTACATTGTTGCATTGAATGCAACATAAAAATACCTCCTAATTTGAGAAAATAAGAAATTTCATAAAAATCCCTATTTATTTTTTTTAAATCCACAATTTGCCTGCCAAGGGCACTGACATAGAAAACCAAGATGGCTCCCTACTTAGGACACACACCCTGATGCTTGACAAGATTCATGGGTAATTCAGCTACTGGTATCAAGTAGGTGTGTAACGAAGGGTCATAAGGTTCCGTTACACTGAGATAATGTGACGTGTTACAAGTAACACCATGGCCTACATCGCTACGAAACAATCAAAGTATATGGGTATATAAGGACAAGGAAACATGGTATGAAAATTAATTGCAAAATACTTTTTGCTGAGAATATGTACAAGAGTTATTGTTTATGGACTGTGACCCAAACTGACTGAACATATTGGGTTGGAATCACACATTCCCTTGGATGACTGATTGAGTGAGAGAGCTGGGTTTAACACCGCTTTTAACAGTATGACAGTTATATCACGGCGTGTCAGCTTAATGTGGGAGGAAAGCCCGAAGTGATGCAGGTCTCAGACGTTTACCACTTCGGTGAAACCCACAAGCATGGGTATGGTGCTGACAAACCTAGAAACATAATCGGGGCACACCAGGATTCGAATCCACAGTCATAGGTTTCTGGCATGCCCAAGGGACGCAACTCTGCACAGCGAATCACGGCGCCTTAGACAACTGGGCCACCCATGCCCCCCTCTTTGATGAAAGAATATGGCTTTTTCAGTATTTTATGCAATATCACCATATTGCAACCGTTGAGATATGTGTAGTATTGTACTACGTGTACTACAGCCCTTGTATTAGGGTGTATTAACATGTGGTTGCCAAGCAACTGCATAACACTGCAGCAGCGCCAGCAGATAAAAATGGTAAATCCTTTCAGAAAGACTTGATAAACGTGAATGGTTTTTTTCAGTCTAAATGCAGAAATACAATTTTTTCACAGATACAATGAGGGAGACAAAGAATTAGTGTTTTTAAACTTATCAACATGTTGACTCGATATCAGGCTGGACATGGGAAACATCCTGCACTCTAAGTCTTATTCCCATGTCAACATATCATTGAAGAAACATTAATTTTGGTATTTCGGGAGCCATGGTAACATAGAAACACCATGTTCATTGTAAAATATCCTCTACACATGGCTTCTATCACTGAGTAAAATGTTTAATTCAGGCAAAATAACATCTCAAATAATATACCCTTCCTGGACTGTGACAATAGATAGCTCTCCACTGTTCAACATTCACTATTTTCTAACAATCACCAAAACATAAACATAATTGATGACATCAACATAATTGTAGTTTCTATTGATCAAAATGAAACGTAATATGTTTGGATGACATCATTGTACATGCATAAGACTCCAGCCTGACCAAACCCTCATGGAAATACTCCACCATCCTCCACACATCCTTCTTCAGTGTCTAGTTAAGTAAGGAGTAGAAGTGGGTTGGTATGGTTTAATGCTGATTCCAACAATGTTCCATCCATAATAAATATTCCATCAATATTCCAGGAAAACTGAAATACTATTCTATCAATTGTCCTGGAATATTCTAGCAATATTCTAGCAGTATTCCAGTACTATTCCAGCAATATTCATCTAAAATTCCAGCATTAGCAATATTCCAGTAATATTCCAGCAATAGTCCAGTAATATTCCGCCAATATACCAGTAATATTCTAGATGAGTCCAGTGATATGCCATTAACATTTCAGCAATAGTTCAGTAATATTTCAGCAATGTTCCTGGGGCAGAGGAGTTCCCAATGTGGGATTCACTCACAGCACTCCTGTGGACCATTAGACCAGCGACCATTAATCAGGACCAGTATTCATAAAATCAAAATGAGTGAGTGAGTTGGGTTTAACGCCGCATTTAACAGTATTCCAGTTATATCATGGCGTGTCAGCTTAATGTGGGAGGAAAGCCCGAAGTGATGCAGGTCTCAGACATTTGCCACTTCGGTGAAACCCACCAGCACGGGTATGGTGCTGACAAACCTAGAAACATAATCGGGGCGAACCGGGATTTGAACCCACAATCATAGGTTTCTGGCATGCCTAAGGGACGCAACTCTGCACAGCGAATCGCGGCGCCTTAGACGAATGGGCCACCTGTGCCCCCTAAAATTAAAATGATCAATCGGCAAATGGAAAATAGGAAAGGACAGTCTCTTCACACTGTTCACTTCAAGAAAGTTTAAAGGGGCAAAATAAGGCATGGGCAGTCCCAGCAACACCACTTTGTCAGCTAATTCATATTCCATGATACACACCAATCTCATTGGTAATGATTAGTAAAGAGAGACAAATATCTTTACAGGCCACTAGGAACAAAGTATGAGCCTAGATTGAAAACAGTCACAAACTCTGAAGCAAACTGTTCCTATCTATGGACAGACATTAGTGGAAAATTACAAAATAATGGCATGAAAACTGGGATGATTTTGTAGTTGTCAAGCCGAATATCTTTGAGATCAGGGATTTTTCTGGGTATCTGTGGAATAACACAGGACTGACCTACAGAGTTTCTGACTCCCATTGTGATGTCCAACATGGTAGAATTAAATCTTCTGATGCAGACATGAGATTCTGTCACTTCCCAGACAGCGAGATAGTTTTGTTCGGTCACATCAACTTAACACGTTTCTATACTGAATCCTTCAGTCAAGTGTACTAACATATTATACAAAAGGAATCTTGACATTAGGAACTTGAAAGTTGCACATAGATGCTAAAGTTACAGAGTTGGTTTTAATGCCAGCAGATCCTGGCACAGCCAAGGAACACAACTCTTCATTTACAGATTGCAGTGACACCTGTGCCCTGCAAACTTCAGTCTGTAGACATAAGAACATACAACCATGACACTACCCATATTAACTTCACTCCCTTTACTGGAGAGGGATCTGTTTAAAATCATATGTGTGAATTTGTCACCAGAAATCAACACTTTGTCAGAAAAGTTAACCATCAAACTATGACTAACATGAATGTGAACTAAAAACAAAACAAAACAAAATTAATCAAAATTAAAAGAAAAATCAAAATTCATAAGGGACTTTGACTGGGGCAGGGTACATAAGAAAAATATATTTCAAATTCTGTCAATGAATGTCCACGATATCTAACATCTACAACAAGCACGGAAGGAAGCCAGTTATGAAATGACAATAACAGGCAGATCATCTGCATCATCCTCTTCCTGCGGAGCATCGTGGGTCTTGAGATGCTCCGTGTACTCCTTGTCGTTGGTGAAGGTATCGCTGCAGGTCTCGCACACGTAGATGTGTTGCACGTGGGTCTTCATGTGGAGCTCAAGTTCCCCCCGACTGGGAAACACGATTCCGCACTTCCTGCACCGCAGCATGGCTTTGTGGAACTTGATGTGTTTCAGGTACTTGGCCTGGTCCGTGAAGGTCTCTCCACACGTGACGCAGATCTGAAGCTCCATCACATGACTCTTCAAGTGATCAGTCAGGTCAATGCGAGACACAAATTTCAGTTCACAGAAGTTGCATTTCAGTAATTCATCCGAATAATGCTTCTTGAGATGGGCGGCGTAGTCGCTTTCATATGCAAACGTCTCCCCGCACGTGTCGCACATGTAGGTGTGTTTAATATGGATCTTTAGGTGTTCCTTGAGCTCTTCCTTCTTGTTGAACTCCAGCTTACACTTGTTACACTTCCATCTTATATCTTCATGAGCTTTGTGATTGCGCAGGTGGGCGATGTACAGAATCTCCTCGGTGAAGATTCTACCACACTGTTCGCATCTATAAGTACGCTTGATGTGCTTCTTGAGATGTTCCCGAAGATCATTCTTATGAGCAAACTCTAGCTTGCATTTATTACACTTCCAGGTGACTCCTTCGTCGGCCTTGTGAGACTTTAGATGAGCCTGGTAAGGACGCTCGTCCGTGAAGGTCCACCCACAGGAGTTGCACATGAACGTGCTCTTCGTGTGCTTCTTCTGATGCTGGTCCAGATCCTTCTGAGACTGGAACATGTCCCCGCAGGTCATACACTTGTACAGTTCATCATCATGTTTGTCGTCCTCCTCATCATGGGCTTTCAGATGGGCTGTGTACTCTTCATCTTGCGTGAAGGTCTTATCACACATGTCACACTCATACACAATCCCTGTATGGGTCTTCAAGTGCCGACTGAGGCTGTCCTTGGAGGTGAACTCCTTCCCACAAGTGTGACACTTCATCTTCTCACTAGAAGCAGCTGCAGCATCTTCTCCTGAAACGCCTGCGTGGGTGCTGAGGTGAGACGACAGCTCACTCTTGGACTCAAACTCTTTGCCACATGTGTGACACTTCATCTTCTCGGCTGAAGCAGATTGGGCGCTCGGTTTTGGTGAAGCATCACTCTTTGACTGTGCCTCCTTTGAACTCTGCTCATGGGTGTATTTCTCTGTTGAATGTGTGTTCCTGTGCCTAGTGAACCCTCCCCTATCACTAAATGTTCGACCACAGATATCACACTCGAATGACTTATTATGTACTTTGGCATGGTTCTTCAGCTTGTATGGGAAGTCAAACAGCTTGCCACAGACATTACAAGTGAGGGACTTGGGATCAAGGTGACACTTCATATGCCCCTCTAACATTTTAGCGCTGATGAAATCCTTGTTACAGACTCCACACACAAACGGCTTCGCTTTTGACTTCTTTTTCTTCTTGGCCAATTTAGTAAACTCGTCATCACTGTAGTTGGAACCATCGTCAGATTTCACCTCTTCTTCCTCCTCCGCCTCTGCATCATCGGTGCCTTCCGTTGGGATGTAATCTTCATCCTTCTCGGTTTTCTTATTTTCTTCCGATTCTGAAGACACCTCATCTTCCATGGCGTGCAGGTGAGATACAAAATACTCTTCATATTCCTCGCTCTCCTCACTCTCAGGTAACGAGGACTCCTCGCAGGACATTTGACCTTCAGCGAAAGCTCTGATTTGGAACAATCTTTGAGCATCTTCATCAACTGCTGGTGCATCACTCTGAGAATTCTCACTAGCAACATCAGGAGTGCCTTCATTTGAGGTGGTAGTGAGGGATTTATCAGTTGGCTTATCCTTAGGTAGATCAGTCGACCTTTTCATTATTTTCTTCACAAGGCTGTCAAGTCTGCTGCTTGACTTATGACCTCTTTTCCTTTTCCGTGACATATCGGAAAAGTCACTGTCAGGAAAGTTAGAGCTGGAGTCTGTTCCACTGGTCTCGCCATACCCTGACGCCTCGGTCTCGTTAACACTGTCAACACTGTCTTCCTTGAGACTGCTCCGGACGCTGGATGCCCTCACTGCAGCAGGTTTCTTCTCCTCATCACTACCATACAACAGTTTGATCTCAGCATCCAGACTCAGCTCGCTGCCATTGTCCAGTGCCACCTCCGACATCTTCGCTTCATCCTTAACATCGCCTTTAACGTCACGCGCCTTCTCACTTGTGTCTGTGGTCCTGAACCCAGAACTGTCAGTCATGCTCACCTCACCGTTCTCGTACATGATCCCCTGGTCAGTGTGAGAGTCGGCCCTCCTGTCATCCATTTCATCATTGCTGCTGCTGGCCGTCTTGTCTTGCTGCGCCGTCATGTCCAACACCTCCTTTCCAAGCGCCGTCCACCGCATAATGCTAAATTCACTTTCTCCACTTCCTTCTAGTGACATCCTCGATCTATAAAAGATAAAAAACCAAAACATTTTTTAAACTGGTGTTATTGTCAGTGTTGGAGTGAGTGAGTGAGTTTGGTTTAACACCGCTTTGAACAGTATTCCAGTCATATCACAGCAAGTCAGCTTAATGTGAGAGGAAAGCCTGAAGTGATGCAGGTCTCAGAAGTTTACAACTTTGGTGAAACCCACGAACACGGGTATGGTGCTGACAGACCTAGAAACATAATCGGGGCGAACTGGGATGAGAACCAACAATCATAGGTTTCTGGCGTGCCCAAGTGACGCAACTCTGCACAGCAAATCACGGTGCCTTAGATGACTGGGCCACCCGTGCCACCCATTCAGTTTTGAGGTTTAATAATATAAACCATTTATGTTAAATGCAAGCGGATTAATTGTTACTGCATATTTGGAGCTTCATCACATAGGTATCCAGTATTCTGAAGTTGTACCAAGAAATGAACTGTTACTAACACTGTACATTTCGATGGTCACGACAAACCAAACACCATTACTGACATGGCTATAGAGTCTTTCTAGGAGTGCGGGTCAGAAAGAATACTATTTAAATATACATATTACCTAGTTATGGACAGGAGTGAGTGAGTTGGGTTTAACGCCGCATTTTACAGTATTCCAGTAATATCACGGCGTGCAATCAGCTTAATGTGGGAGGAAAGCCTGAAGTGATGTAGGTCTCAGATGTTCACAACTTTGGTGAAACCCATGAGCACGGGTATTGTGCTGACAAACCTAGAAACCCACAATCATAGCTTTCTGGTGTCCCCAAGGGACACAACTCTGCACAGCGAATCGCGGAGCCTTAGACGACTGGGCCGACCGTACCCCTAGTTATGGACAAGAGGTTGGAATCGCAGACTGGCAAATATGGGTTATCATGCGAGGTTGTTTTGTTATGGAAACAGCCTGTATCTGGAGTTCCATTGTACTGGCAGTACTGATATCCGATAGTAAAGGGCGATGTCTGGTTTGTTTGTTAGCACAGGAAAGAAGTACTTACCTGACCTTTTCTTTTTTATATACTTATCTGTAAATGACACCAATGGTTACCATTTCTATCGGTTAGCTTTATCATGCCGAGGAACCTACATATTATTTTAGAAACAAACGACAAATGGGAGTTGTTTATCGAACAATAAAACACTGCAGGGAGAATAAACCATGAGGGGCGCAGCCCTGAGTAGCTTATTCTCCCTGCAGTGTTTTATTGTACGATAAACAGCGACCACAGGTGGTTTATTCATATATCATCATGTACAGCCTATTTAAGGATGTTGACAAAATGTACAAGCTTTAAAAATGTTTACCCAAATTTTAATAATGAAGACTCCCTGTATAGAATTCAACCTTGGAAATGTTGGGGAGGGTCCGTTTTACAAACAGGTGGGTTAAGTTTGGTATTTCCTGCATATTCTCATAATCCTCATGTCGACCATCTGTACCTTTATCGATGCATACCTTTTGGATGCATTCAATGCCATAATGTAAAACTGTGCATAAAGCCTCTCCCTCGTTATTGGCCCTCATAATTGGTCCTGTTAACAGTGAAATACATGTAACCTAAAAAATGCCATAACATTGGTGAGAACAAAATGGACATGAAATGTGGAAATTTTATTGATATAGTCCACTGTTTGAAAGTGAGTGAGTGAGTATGGTTTTACACCGCTTTTAGCAATATCACGGCGGGGGACACCAGAAATGGGCTTCACACATTGTACCCATGCCGGGAATCGAACCCGGGTCTTCGGCGTGAGGAGCGAACGCTTTAACCACTAGGCTACCCGACCGCCCCCACTGTTCTAAAGCTTTGTTTGTTTGAAGCCGGTTACCCCTGAGCTTACTCGGCTCTCCTCGCTTTATTCCGTTGTGTTCCAGGGATCACACCGCTGGTGTACAGTGATCACATGACCAGACTTTTCTCATGTTTGTAAACAAATGCACATTTCTGAAATAAGAACAGGCGGGCTCTATTGTTTTGATTTGAGAATTGAATCAGGTAAGTGACGAAACACTCAGAAATTATCTCAAGGAATTAAAAACAAACAGAACCGTCAACATAGTGTCCTGTTAAATCATTCACAAGTGCAACACAAGCGCAATATGCCGCAGGTGTGTTCTACAAACCTGACTTTTGCAACGCAAATATTGCCATGATTAGGGACATTTGTGAGTACAGTAAGGTACATGGGTGTCATTTGTGTATAAAGAAGGGTACATAGGTTACATTTCTATAGTACCTGTGTTGACAACGACCTCATCAAATAGTGAAGTAGGGTGAATATCTATATTTACAGGCCTAAAAGAACCAGCTCTTCCTATCGTCCACGTTGAAATAATAAATAAGGTTCACACAAGATTGTTTTCTGTAGGTATCGAAGTATATGCCATATGCCCTTACCCAATGTTCACTGTTGTAACTATCTTGATTCGAGTACTGAATTCAACAACGCTTTCGGCGTGAAGTCAGTATTTACTTTCAAGCCATATAATTCGAGTCTAAACACTGACAATTGCCCATAAGTGACACAGGATAGTTGTCTTTGTCGATATTCAGTATGTATTCTTTAAATATATCCTTAGTATCGGCAGGGGTGTCTATTTTGTTGTAAGAGTCTACGGAAGCATTATGAAGAGATGAAAATCCGATGTTGCGTTCGGTCTGTGCATGAAATACACCCCGGACGTGGCACGCAGTCAACATATTTGAAGAAAATAAAATGATGCATAAAGTATTGGTAATAAAAGAACAAAGTACCTGTCCAAATCCCTCTTATCTTCACGCAGAAAGTAGTTATTCAAGATAAAATTTACAAATTCAAAGGAAATTCTCCCTTTCCTCCATGTTGAGTAAGGGAGCTAACTCTAACTTTTCTATTGCAGTGGATATCAAAACCTCTGTTTGCACGACACAGGATCGATTCCAGCAGTCAATTCCTCAAAATCAGAAGCGGGTTTTTAAAGTTGCATTGTAATACATATTATTATTTTTTTCTTTTATCAATAGACTTTTACGAAAGAAACAATATATTTGATCAGCTTAGCTCAGAAACATGGCCACACTGAAACCATTTTTTTCTCAGCTGTGGTAAAATTATTTGATGTACCGGTAATAGGAATTTAATCAATTCTGATTGGTCATTGAGAGGCCATCAAATCAGAATAAATCTCCTCTGATTGAAACAACTGATTAGATGGCTGCATTACCACGGAAGCTAATATTTGTAGAATAGCACTTATTTCCCAGTCATTGTTGGTTGGTAATGTAAAATAATTTTAATGTTCAAAAATAGTCAACGCTAAGTAAATTTGCAGTTACTTAATTATTCAAAGAATGTGTGGCAGTACATTCCAGGGGGGCACAGGTGGCCCAGTAGTCTAAGGCGCCGCGATTCGCTGTGCAGAATTGCGTCCCTTGGGCACGCCAGAAACCTATGATTGTGGGTTCGAATCCCGGTTCTCCCCGATTATATTTCTAGGTTTGTCAGCACCATACCCGTGCTAGTGGGTTTCACCGAAGTTAACATCTGAGACCTGCACCACTTCATGCTTTCCTCCCACATTAAGCTGACACGCCGTGATATAACTGGAACACTGTTAAAAGCGGCGTTAAACCCAACTCACTCACTCCTGTCCATAACTAGGTAATATGTATATTTAAATAGTATTCTTTCTGACCCGCACTCCTAGAAAGACTCTATAGCCATGTCAGTAATGGTGTTTGGTTTGTCGTGACCATCGAAATGTACAGTGTTAGTGACAGTATAATATATAGAGAGTGTATTTCATGTTTTGGGGACAACAGACCATTCTTAATGAGGCCTCATGAATATTCATATCTAAACCAGAACAAGACAAACATGGACAAAGTCGCATTGGCATAATTGCGGCAAATGCACAAAAAACTCCCTGATTTCAATTTTTCTTTTGTGGAACAGTATATTTAGAAACTGTCCCAGTAGTTCTTGTATATATATCACAGGTGGAAAAGGTCTACAAATACTTTTCTGAAGCATAGACCCGTGAAGATACTGGTCAGAATAGATCCTCAGCAACCCTTACTTCTTGTAAGAGGCGACTATGCTTGTAGCAAAAGGTGATTAATGGGATCGGGTGGCCAGGACCGCTGACTTGGTTGATGCATGTCATCGTGTCCCTATTGCGTGGATCAATGCTCATGATTTCAATCACTGGTTTGTCTGGTCCATTCTCTATTTTTTTAACAGACGGACGTCATATAGTTGGAATATTGCTGAGTATGGCATTAAACAAGAAACAAACTGAAGCATATATCCATGAACTGAGTAATCGCTGTTTTTAACAACACAATACGATAAGTTATATGACCGGATATCTGATGTTTTTGATGCTGTCAAGCAGCTTAGGGAGGCTACTCTAAAGTCATGACTTCGAAATATTGTCAATGGAAGTCATTATCAACATATGAGCAAAACAGAAGACTCAACTTCAACAAAACAGAATTCTAATTTGAAATGTAGCTTTATCATTGCAAGCAGCATTGATATATCTTCAGCTACATACTCTAGAGACCCGTGAAGATCCAGGGTCGAATAGGTCTCCAGCAACCCATGCTTGCTGTAAAAGGCAACTATGCTTGTCGTAAAAGGCGACTAACGGGATAGGGTGGTCAGACTTGCTGACTTGGTTGATGCATGTCATCGATCCCAATTGCGTGGACTGATGCTCATGTTATCAATCACTGGATTGTCTGGTCCAGACGCGATTATTTACAGACTGCCGTTATATCCTGGAATATTGCTGAGTGCAGCGTTAAACAACAAACAAACAAAACATACTCTAGATCAATCAGCATAAGCAATCCCATGCTAGATCTAGATAGTTGTTGTACTTTAGAAGATCAAGATAGATCATTAAAAATAAATTTGGTCTTAAGTAAAATATTTCACCAATATTATGAATGTGATAAAATAATGTTCTTTTGTTGAAATAATGCCGATGCAACGTTAAATTTTAACTCAGCGGAAAACTGATTCCCCACATCAAATTAAGGTATTTATATGAAGTATAAACTAGTGTTAATTATGTCAGAAGACATACTTGTATCTACTCACCGCCAAAAGTGAGTGAGTGAGTTGGGTATAATGCCGCTTTTAACAGTATTCCAGTTATATCGCGGCGTGTCAGCTTAATGTGGGAGGAAAGCCCGATGTGATGCTGGTCTCAGATGTTTACCACTTCGGTGAAACCCACGAGCATTGGTATGGTGCTGACAAACCTAGAAACATAATTGGGGCAAACCGGGATTTGAACCCACTATCATAGGTTTCTGGCGTGCCCAAGGGACGCAACTCTGCACAGCGACTGGGCCACCCGTGCCCCCCCCTGCCAAAAGAAACATGAACCATGGAAATATAACGAGAAGTAGGAAGAGATGTTTCCAATGTGTACCACTTAATGACAAAACTAACAATCAGTCTAGTGTTACCACAGTGTCTTTATTCTTATCACGATATGCTACACATGATTTCCAAACTTTACACGCTAATCCTGCATAAGACAAATGGTGCATCTCGAGTCATGGATCTATGACGTCACATGTGATGCGTCAATGAGTGTCGGTTCACACAAAATACCAGTATGTTAGTTTGTGCATCAAACCAATCTAATATCTCTTGAATATGAGTAAGTCTTCATATATTAACCAACATGTATGGTACTTGCGTTTCTTTAGGTGGTGAGTATATAATAAATAGGCCTATATACACAGTGTATCAGTTGTAGTTTTTAATCATACTCATCAATAATTGTTTGTCACTTTTATCATGATCATAATTTATTTTTTAAATTCACTTTGCTGTCAATTATAACTCAGTATGCTGAAATCAGCTGTTACAGGTTATTGTGGTATAATTCTTTTTTAATCTTTTTAATCATTGAACCAGGCATGTAATTTGATATAAAATATAGTATAAATTATTTCACTTTTTCTCCAGATATTTTTCAGTTGTGATCCACTTGCTGTTGGAAGATCCAGGGTAGAATAGGTCTTCAGCAACTCATGCTTGTCGTAAGAGGCGACTAACAGGATCGGGTGGTCAGGCTCGCTGACTTGGTTGATGCATGTCATATCCCAATTGCGTGGATCAATGCTCATGATATCAGTCACTGGATTGTCTGGTCCAGACTTTATCATTTACAGACCGCTGTCATATAGCTGGAATATTGCTAAGTGCGGCGTTAAACAACAAACCAACCAACCAAATTTGTTCACTTAGCTATATCATAGCTACTGAAAAACTTTCAAAGAGAACAAAATATCAGATCAATATGATAGGATTCAGTAACCTTCAGCAATACAATTAACCCACATAAATTGCAATTTGTGTCGGGATATTTGGCACAATTGTAAGACTTGATTATTTTGTTCCTGCATCATCAACAATTGAAAATGTTATCTGTGAAATGATTGTTGTGCTTATATTGCAACGTGCATGCACGTGTGTGTGCGTGCGTGCGTGCGTGCGTGCGTGTCTGCGTGCGTGAGCGCGCACTTGTACTAGTCCGGACTGATGCCGATTTATAGTGCTAGCCCACTGAGATACCATGCCACAATTTAACATCAATACCCGACACAGTACACTGACTCCGAGCTAACCAGTCCTTGTTTTGGCCCCTTAATACTGAGCACCAGACAGGGTCACAACAAGTACCATTTTTTAGCGTCCTTTGGTATGACGCGGCCGGGGATCAAACCCTGGACCTTCCGCTCTCCGGTTGGACGCTCTACCACCAGACCACGGAGGTGGTCCTTGAACACATGAATAACTTAAGGAAAATATAAACAAAGAAGGTTCATCGAATACACAGGCTAAAAATCATTTAATATTACAGATAATATCTAAATATCAATAATCTTTATGTAAATACTATAGGATATAGAAATTTGTTGTTTTGTATTCATTAACATCTAATTCAAAACCATGTCAATTTGCAAAATTAATTTAATACGATTAAATTTGATTTGTCATTCTTACTGTATCTGAGATGGCGACGGATGACTTGTGGGAGCTTCGTCACCCGATGAAATGTTCTCAGACTCTTGATCAGCATCATCTGAAATACATTTGTGAAAATCAAACACGTTTCAGTTATGGTCAGGGGCGGTCGGGTAGCCTAGTGGTTAAAGCGTTCGCTCTTCACGCCGAAGACCCGGGTTAGATTCCCGACATGGGTACAATGTGTGAAGCCCATTTCTGGTGTCCCCCGCCGTGATATTGCTGGAATATTGCTAAAAGCGGCGTAAAACCATACTCACTCACTCACTCACCCAGTTATGGTCACTTGAATGCTCTACGCCAGTAATTTTTCCTATATTGCTGAAGTAGTGGTCACTGGTCAGTGTTTTTACAGGTACTTATTAACGTTTTTATTACCTACCTGTGTGTCATATATAACTGAAATATCATAAACATTTGCAACACATGTTATTTCACTGCTGTAGAGAATATGGGATAGAAATATATTATTTTTCAAGTTTTCCACAAGACACTCATAATGATGTTTAGGTGTGCAATTGAAATTAAAGTGTGCCAACTAGAGGAACAAATGTGATCAATATCAAACTCAGTGAAAGTCAGGCAAGATAATAAGCAGTTGTGATTTATGAGATGGCCCCCACCCTTTCACTAAGATTAATAATACCCTCTTTTTCATTTCTGACTAGGGCGGTCCGGTAGCCTAGTGGTTAAAGCATTCGCTCGTCACGCCGAAGACCCGGGTTCGATTCCCGACATGGGTACAATGTGTGAAGCCCATTTCTGGTGTCCCCCGCCGTGATATTGCTGGAATATTGCTAAAAGCGGCGTAAAACCATACTCACTCACTCACTCACTCATTTCTGACTACCCAAAAATATTTAGTGTTTGTTTGTGTGTTTGTTTAATGTTCACAGCCACACTCAGCAATATTCTAGCTAAATGGCGGTCTAAAAGTAATCGAGTTTGGACCAGACAATCCAGTGATTGACATCATAAGCATCGATTTACGCAATTGGGATGCGATGATATGCATCAACCAAGTCAGCGAGCCTGACCACCCAATCCTTTTAGTCGTCTCTTACGACAACCATAGTCGCCTTTTATGGCAAGCATGGGTTGCTGAAGACCTATTCTTACCGGTATGTTCACGGGTCCAATATATTTTGTGAATCATGCTGTGCATTAAGTGTGTTCATAGTTCAACATGTTCCATGTTTTCGCCATGTTTATGTGTGGTAGTATAAATCAAAATTGTCACAAGGTAATGCTAAAAAATTGTTTTCTAAGTGTACCTACCCTTCAGACCCATGGAACTTACTTTAACAGTGCCATTACCATTTTAACCATTCCACAGAGACTAAAATACAAAGAATTTGAACCCGGAGAATGTATTGTTTGATAGGCATTACTTAGAAGTTGACGGATGACAAAGCAGACACAAGTTATGGATGACAAACAACTTCTTTTTTTTTCTGTAATGGCGATGTTTCGGTACAGATGCTTGAAGCCTTGCTTGACAACAGTATAACAATCTATACTGAAATGTTGCCATCACAGTAAAATAAAGAAGTTATTATCCATAAATTGTGTTTACTTTGTCCTAGAGAATGTGCACAGCCATAATCTTACCTCTGTCATAGCACTGATTTACGACACCCATTTTCTGAAGAACATTTGATTTAAAAGGCTCATTACCCCTGGAGCCATGACATCTATACGCCTTGAAACACTTAATTGCTGTTATTTATAAGATGCTAATCCTATTTGTTAATCCCCATTTTTGTGTACATCGACCGTCTGCCATCCTGCTGATGAATTACTGTTTACATTTATATTTATTACTTACTAAATGTCAGGTGACCTTGGCGAAATACGCATCAGTCGGAAAGCGCACGTTAAATCTCCAAAGTAAGTAAGTAAGTAAGTAAGAGATTGGGAGGAGAAAGAAAGGTCTTACCCTTAGCCTTAGGGTTTGGCTGGGTGCTCCGGGGCACCTAGACAACAACCACTACCACTATGTGCTGACCTGGCACATAGTGTCTTTTGTATGTATATATCTACATGTATAAAGTAAAACTGTATATATACCGCAAGCCATCGTCTCCAAGTTGTCACTTCCTACAGGAACCATACGTCGCCCCCTTGCATATACGGGTATGCAAATTATTTATTAATCAACATCAGACCACACGCGTTGTTACCTCTATGACAAGAGTGTCTCCTTGAGGTTAGCTTCCAGTTCCAGCCAGTAGCCCCACTGTCCACGGTCCACTGAAACACCGAGGGAACCGCACCCCGCTTCAATGTCGTTCGGTTTGGTGTCCACTTGAAGTCATCCTTCAGGAAATGGTTGCTGCACACAACTGTGTTGGAGGTTATCTTGGAATAAAAGAATAAGGTAGATAAACAAATAAAATAAGATTCTACTAGTGAAAAATATGACACTGAATTTGTATTGTTGCTTTTGAAGGTTATGTCTTTGGTTTGTAACTGTGCTAATTAAGTTTTGGCTGATATGGGTAGCCGATAGGGCTTGCGTCCCAATTATTAGACCTGTGAAGTTTCGGGGTAGAATAGGTCTTCACCAACCCATGCTTTGCTAAAAGGCGACTATGCTTGTCGTAAGAGGTGACTAACGGGATCTGGTGGTCAGGCTCGCTGATTTGGTTGATGCTTGTCATCGATCCCAATTGCGTGGATCGATGCGAATGATGTCATTCACTGGATTGTCTGGTCCAGACTCTATTATTTACAGACCGCTGTCATATAGCTTGAATATTGCTGAGTGCGGCGTTAAACAACAAACAAACAAAACAAACCCAATTATTGACATGATTAATGACCACAAACAGCTGTGGAGAATGTGCATGCAGTGTGACCATTAGTGGGGGTTAAACTGAGCGAAAGCTTACTGTGCAGAGCTATGGAATGAATGAATTAAGGTATACAATGCTAAAGAATAAATCATAACTAATAATAATAATAACAAGAGTTTGCCACTAACGTGGCTATATCCCCCGCCCCTGTTGCAGAATTTATGACATAATTAAATCTAAACAAACACTAACCTTTTTTAACCGAGGTGGAACTTGTCATGGAAATTGTAAAAAAAAGAAGAGTTTGGAACCTAAGTCCATCTTGTTGCCATGGAAACGTAAAAAATAAAAATGTACCTGACAGACCTGCAAAGTTTGATGAAAAAATATTGAACCGTTTATGAGTTATGCTCCGGAAACGAACCCTACCCTCACAGAACCAAAGTCCATCTTGTTGCCATGGAAACGTAAAAAAAAAAAATTCTAAAATTTCTAAATAGCAAAAGGCACCAGTTCAGCATGTACCTGACAGACCTGCAAAGTTTGATGAAAAAATATTGAACGGTTTATGAGTTATGCTCCGGAAACGAAACGTCACGGACGGACGGATGGACGGAGCCATTTCTATAATAATAGGCCAATTATATTGAACATATTTCCACACCACACTGGGGCTTGCTCAAAGAGCTATTATTACCCTGGTTACTGGACCAGTGTGCACTCAACAATCATTCTCAGCTCCCTGGGGAGTATACAACCTAAACTGCCTATTAGTGTTAGGCGCAAGAAGGTTAACAACCAGCCATCTCATCCTACCGGGTACCCATTAACTGCTGGTTGAACAGATGAACATTTTGAACGAAGTCACAGCTAGGCCCAAGGAGATACCACATGTGTTATGTGTGCTTCAACTAATTTTCTAACTAATACCATATCCTTATTGTTTAATGTAAGTGTTAAAGGTACTTAACTAATCAAATGGCAACAAGGTCATACAATCTTACTACTAACATACTAGTTGATCATATAGGGGCAATGATCTCTGACAATTCACCCGGACTGGTTGTTGCCTTTGTTATTGGTTTTTTCCCGGATGCTATCCCACAAATCTCAACTAGTTCGCGACCTGTGCTGCGCCAACCGTAAGCGCATTTGTCACTTTTGTTGATAGCATGTAAGGTCACACTGATCAACAAAATGAAATACATTTTATGCTCCGAAACATTAAGGATACGTCGGTGTGTTTTGGGGTATTTCGGTGATGGTGATGCAGTTTTCATAAGTCACTTGCCTGTATTGTGCGATTTTCATTAACACTATTTGGACTTGTAGCACAAACTAAATATTTGACCTGAGCATTGCTTCTTCCATTGTGTGCATATCTTATAGTCAATGTGTAAAATGACTAAAATTTTCACGTATGCAATTTATGAAACACCTAAATATACAGTTATTTTACAAATGGACAGAGAAATCTGTCCATTTATTTTATAATGACAACGGGGGCGGTCGGGTAGCCTAGTGGTTATAAAGCGTTCGCTCGCCACGCTGAAGACCCGGGTTCGATTCCCGACATAGGTACACTGTGTGAAGCTCATTTCTGGTGTCCCCCGCCGTGATATTGCTGGAATATTGCTAAAAGCGGCATAAAACCAAACTCACTCACTATGACAACGAATTCCAAACATTTTGATGTTTAATCTCATCACCCAGTGACTGACAATGATTGGATTAAAAGAGAAGGAAAGTCAAAGTACATTTCTATTTTAGGGGGCTTCTAATCCAAGCATAATTCGTCTATTGTGATATTTTTAAGCCCTTCTGAACTCTTTAATGATTCTTAGTCAATCTGTTAAATAAATGAACAGATTTTTCAGTCAGTTTGTAAAATGCCTGCAATATTTAGACATATATAAATTGCCTAAGTGAATCCCATTTTACACATTGACTGTAACATATTGCATATATCATACATTTCACCCCACTTCAGACCTGGATCGATGCTCACGATGTCAATCACTGGATTGTCTGGTCAAGCCTCGATTATTTACAGACCGCCACCATAAAGCTGGAATATTGCTGAGTGCGGCGTTAACAGGATCGGGTGGTCAGGCATGCTGACTTGGTTGATGCATGTCATCGTATCCCAATTGCGTGGATCGATGTTCATGATGTCAATCACTGGATTGTCGGATTCAGACTTTATTATTTACAGACCGCCATCATATTGCTTGATTATTGCTGAGTGTGGCGTTAACAACAAACCAAACCAAAAATAATCCGAAATCCTAAAATGTTTTCACTGCAAGGATACCCTTTTTATATAAAACTATATACATTAGGGGTATTTCCAAATAGCAACATTCAGTGAGCTCAGTTCCATTGGTCTTTGGCTTAAGCAGTATTGGGACGATACACCGATGCATCAGTTGATCTAGTTTTTTTTACATCTCAATACAATTGTCGATCACATGTCGCACACTAAGTAAAAAGTATCAATGCTTACCTTAAATGTTTTCTTGAATATATGTTACACCAAACACTAATTGCTAGTGAAAATGAGTAGTGAAAACATAAATATTTTCATCCATTGCGCCATACCTGACACTGCCAACAGTACTGTTAATCATTAGTGTGCCATGTTTTTAGCAATCCTGTCTATGAAAAAGATGGCTTACGCACCACAGATAAGTGCACATGCAAGTATCGCGATACATATCGGATCGTGAGCAAGGTATCGTGATACATATCGGATCGTGAGCAAGGTATCGTGATACATATCGGATCGTGAGCAAGGTATCGTGATACATATCGGATGGCACAGTTGGTGTATCGTCCCAGCCCTAGTGTTTAGGTTGAAGAAGTTAATTAACAAGCACGTTTTGTAACATCCAAATTTCATGGGTAACCAGTAGTGTGCAAAAATGGGTATAGATATTGACTCAAAGTTTATTAACACTGTCATTAGAGACGGTAGCCTATTTTCTTGTCACGCTCAGTTGCGTCAGCGAGTAAATCGACTCATGGCAGTTGGTGAGTGAGTGAGTTTGATTTTACGCCGCTTTTAGCAATATTCCAGCAATATCACGGCGGGGGACACCAGAAATGGGCTTCACACATTGTACCCATGTCGGGAATCGAACTCGGGTCTTCGGCGTGAGGAGCGAACGCTTTAACCACTAGGCTACCCGACCGCCCCCATGGCAGTTGGTGAGCTCAAGCGGGCAGTGTTAGGCAGCCAGGTCGAATTAAGCTAGCGATTAGTGCACCTTTAATAAAATGTTATGTACATGTCAATAATTACCAGAGGCGGCCACATATTATATATATTCCTCGAATACTATATATATAGACTATACTTAATTTAGAATTATTCTTCAGCAAAACAAGGTTGTCGTAAGAGACGACTAACGGGATAGGGAGGTCAGGCTCGCTGACCTGGTTGATGCATGTCATCGTATCCCAATTGCGTAGATCGATGCTCATGGTGTCAATCACAGGATTGTCAGATTCAGGCTCGATTATTTACAGACCACCATCATATTACTGGGATATTGCTGAGTGCGGCGTTAAACAAACAAACAAACACGGCCTCAGAAGTTGGCGAGAGTAATTATAAATACATCCTCGCCTAAATGTAACCTCACATCGTTTTCTATATTGACCGCAGTCCCCATGCCTACTACACGTTCGCAGTTGTGCTCTAGTCTGGGCCTAACACAGATTCTACCTCGATAAGACCAATATCGTGTTTGGCGATGTAACACATGTACTCACTCTGAATGATTTTCCAGGCTCTCTGCGTATTTTTGTCAACCACTGCCTTCTCACTGTCTCATCTTTGGGAATGCGATGGAAAGACACATTAAAGTCTCTTCGGGCATCGCTTCTACACAAAGGCACGCAACAATAATCTTTCCGCGTGGCGGTCGCCATTTCCGGATTGTTTGCCTACGTTAGCCTCGCTCTCGATTTGACCTTGAGGTCATGTGTATTGGCTGAGAATGGGCTTGTATGTTATTTTTCGTATCGAATAGAGGCTTAATTACCAATACTAATCCATTTGATACGTTATGCTGGTCAGCTAAGGTAGTATTTTGTTCGCTTACACCAGTAATCCACATGGTCTCTGTTTACACTTGACATAAAGCTGTCAAATAACACATTTCACCGCATGCTACTTTAAATAATTTATCTGTGTACGATTAAAAGGGACGAAATGTGTTTTTTGTTACGCATCACAAAATTTCAATCTAATATTGCACAAAATTTCGGACAACACTTTTAGTAGTGTCTATTATTCAAACCAATCATATATTTACAATTAATTTTACACCCTCGGAAATTTAATATTCTACATCTAGGTGCAACTTCATAGTCATCCATGCAGTGCGGTGCGAGCTCGAGCACATTGAATTCTCGCGCATATATGCGTCAGAAAACACACCTCGACATCCAGAGGGTAACTTTATGTGATGTGTTTGTGTGTCACTCTGTGTGTGTGTGTGTCTTGTGTGTGTATGCGTGTGGTGTGCGTGTGTGTCTCAGTGTGTAAGTGTCGTGTGCGTGTGTCTGTGTAAATATGTGTGTGGTGTGCGCGCGCGTCTCTGTATTTGATGTGTGGTGCGTGTCTCTGTGTGTATGTGTGTCTGTGTGTGGTGTTCGTGTGTATGTGTCTCTCTGTGTGTGTGTATGTGGTGTGCGTGTGTCCCTGTGTGTGCGTGCGTGCGTGCGTGCGTGTGTGTGTGGCTGACGTGGACTCAAAACTGAATGTCATTTTTCGATAACTGCAGAAGAGATTTACGTTATTTTTTAGAGGGAAGTGTCAATTAAGAAAGTCGTTCCCCACAGATGTAGCTGTGCAACGTAGATAAAGGCAATGGCCGAACGATCGCATCCCAAAGCGGAAGAGATGTGACAATCGGTATTTGGAGAAATTGCATTTTTTTTTATTGTACGATAAACAACGACCACGAGTCGTTTATTTATTACATAAATGCACAAAAATAGATAATGGATAGAGCGTCTGCCCAGAGATCGGAGTATAAGGGGTTCGATCCCACTGCATCATACCAAAACATTCAAACGATGGTAGTTGTTGTTACCCTGCCTGACGCTCGGCAAAGAGAGGATAAAACAAGGGTTCGTTGGCTCGGAGTCAGTTGATACTGTTTCTGAGTCCAGTAACCATGCCTGTTTAACTGCAGCATGGTATCTCAGTACACTAGCACTAGGACTAGTACAAGCAGACACACACACACACACACACACACACACACACACACACACACACACACACACACACACACACATCGTTATATACAATTTCGTCACATACGATCAGAGAAGAATTAAATATGTTATCAGCTAACCGTGTTTAATTACACACAAGCGAGCGTTCACAATGTTAAAGATTCCTGGTTAAAACCGTCGGGGACCCGGGTCTTCGGCGTGACGAGCGAACGCTTTAACCACTAGGCTACCCGACCGCCCCTAAGCAAGGAGGAAGGTAGGAATGCGAATGAATTTCATATGGAGGTTATTGTTTATTAAATAATTGTGACATGAGTGAACGACATAAACTGCCGGGCAAAATTAAAGATACACTTGAAAATTGGATTTGACCAGTGTGTAAAAACGCCATAAAAATGTTACTTGGCTGAAAATAGTCGCCGAAGCACTGCAAGCGTAAGGTCCTAAACACAGATACAATACCCATACATCAAACAGAACACAATCGAATAACCATTTCTTGTTTGTTTCATTTTTAGCCACCATCAAACATGAGTGTATACTTTCTTTTGTCCGGCAGTATATTGACATTGAAAGATGGAAGACATGTGTACAAAAATAAATACAAAAAACAAAAAACGAAAACGTTATTGTGGCATTAGAAGGTGACATGCATATATACAAAACAATTCCTTGTGATAATAAATTACTTTACAAAATAAATAGTGGCACGGTTCTGTGGCTCACGTCGCCATGTATAACATCCATTTTAACAGCAAGGTGGGCCAGTCGTCTAAGGCGCCGCGATTCGCTATGCAGAAACCAGAAACCTATGATTGTGGGTTCGAATCCGGTTGGTCCCGATTATGTTTCTAGGTTTGTCAGCACCAGACCGTGCTCGTGGGTTTCACCGAAGTGGTAAACGTCTGAGACCTGCATCACTTCTGGCTTTCCTCCCACATCAAGCTGACACGCCGTGATATAACTGGAATACTGTTAAAAAACGGCGTTAAACTCAACTCACTCACTCACTCGATTTAACAACAACATCTTATTGCAACAGTAAAAGAGTAGTATTGGCAGTATCAATTTGTTCATTCCGCCCTTTTTTATCACAGTGACCACCCGTCTTAAATAAAAAAATATCCATCACTAAAGTAGGTATATATACTGGTGACAAGCACCTTGTAGAGATTGTGGTTCAAGAAAGACATATTTATGTCACACAGTATATAACACATGCACTGACAAACAAAGCAATCCGTCTACAAGGATTACAAACCGACCACTTTCGACTTCATTGATTTAAATTTCCAATTTCTAGCTGATGTGTTTTATAAAATACATTGTATATTCTTCATATTATTGGTTCATATATTGTCAAATGGTTTTGTTGTTGGATGGTCTACAATGGAAGCTGGTAGATGTCTAGGACGGGGGAGCAAGAGCCGGAAATTTATCGGAAAAAAATGTCCCCGAAAACACTTGAAAAAAAATAATTATGCTTCAGACTGTTGACAAAAATAAATTGTCTGCCACAAAAAGAAAAGTTTTTCAGTGTGTTTTTCTTTTCACACTATTCATCCTAATACATGTAGTTATAATTAAAACATATCTGGTTTTGTAGCTGTTCGTGAAAAATACCCAACCTTGATACAAAATCTCACGATTTGGCCACCAGTGCCCTCGATTTTTTTAAGAGACAGATTTTTTTTCAGTCAGTATTTTCAAAATAAACAATTCATTCCAACGAAAGGATACGTCAAGCAATTCAATCTGTTTTCAAAACCCATATTTTTTACAGGAAACCCGTCATTAACACAGAATTGTTTGTTTTTATCTTAGAACAAATGCGCCCCTTTGCTGAAAAACAATTGGATTGCCCTATAGCACGATAAAGCCTAAATAATTGGTCACGGTTGGGGTTTTGCTCATGGTCCTGACTCGAATATTTACAGACCGCCGTCATATAGCTGGAATGTTGCTAAGTGCGGCGTTAAACAACAAACACTCATTGTAAGAAATGTGCTTCACACATTGTACCGATGTGGGGAATCGAACCCGGATCTTCGGCGTGACGAGCAAACGCTTTAACCACTGTGCTACCCGACCGCCCCTGATGGGCAATAGAGGATTCAGACAGCACGGATACCTTACGCATGTCATTTTTTTGTCCCTCTCAGCAGGTCAAAAGTCCCGCAGAAATGGCTAAAAACAAAGACAGGTTGGGTAGCCTCTTGAGTCATGGGGGCGGTGGGTCAGCCTAGTGGCCAAAGCGTTCGCTGGTCACGCCGAGGGCCTGGGTTCGATTCCCCACATTAGTACAATGCGTGAAGCCCATTTCTGGTGTCCCCACTAGTGATATTGCTGGAATATTGCTGAAAGCGGCGTAAAACCATACTCACTCACTCACTCACTATCGAATCATGTGTTTTTTTAATGGAGAAGGCCCTCCTGTGTTTCCATGGTTAAGTTCACACACGAGCGCGCGCACACTAACTCATTCAAGCATTCCTAATAATGTTCTCAAGACGACGAAATTCTCTCAATCTCAAAGGTATTGGCTAATGGGAGATTGTAGAGTAGCGAGTAGGTGTTCACATGTACACACACGCTGTCGTTCGCGCGCAATTTAATTGTGAGGTCAAGGTCAGACGACAGGTACGTCCGGTTTTTGATGGTTACTTTCTCCGTCATTAAAACATCAAAGCCAGTGGGTAGCTTCTTCAAGACATCGTGATATTGTATGTGATCAGCTGTGTTCGGTAATTTGTTGAGATAAGTGTCAAAACTGAGATGACTCCGGATGCGGAATATTCCACCTTTCAACACTTGAAACAATCCTCCGTCAAATGACAGATCGCCTTGAATGAAAGCGAGGCCATGTGGGTACTCTTCCAACCACTTGAACTCTTTGTCTGAAAACAATTGGAGTTGTATCCTTAGTAATATAATCCTTATCTCTGTGATCGAGTTTCGACAGGCCAAAAGTTGTAAACGACTGAGACCTGCATCACTTCAGGCTTTCTTCCCACATTAAACTGACACGCAGTGATATAACTGGAATATTGTTCTAAGCCGCGTTAAACCCAACTCACTCAGAATAATCCCTAAGTATGTATGGTTTTTAACAACATATTACAACATTCCAATTTCTCTCTCTCTCTCCCTGACTCTCTCTCTCTTACTCTCTCTCTCTCTGACTCTCTCTCTCTCTCTCTTGCTCTCTCTCTCTTACTCTCTCTCTCTCTTACTCTCTCTCTCTCTTAATCTCTCTCTTTCTCTCTCTCTCTTACTCTCTCTCTCTTTTACTCTCTCTCTCTTACTCTCTCTCTCTTAGTCTCTCTCTCTTACTCTCTCTCTCTCTTACTCTCTCTCTTGCTCTCTCTTACTCTCTCTCTCTTACTCTCTCTCTTAATCTCTCTCTTGCTCTCTCTCTCTTACTCTCTCTCTCACTCTCTCTCTCTCTCTCTCTCTCTCTCTCTCATTCACCCAACCACCCACGCACCCACCCACCCGCTCACTCACTCACTTACCATGTTTGGTCGCCTTGACGTCTAATACAAGCCTGCCAAGAGTGAGAGGTCTGGGTGTTTTCCGTCCTTTCGTCCTCCTGTTGCCCGATCCATCTGGAACAATATGTACTGCCAGTTAAAAGCGGCGTAAAACCATACTCACTCACTCACTCATTTTTAATTAGCAGAATTCCGACAGTAGCTTATTTGGAGGGAATCCGAAGGGTTTTTCATTCAATAATGTTTCTTCCTGATTATTTACCCCCGGTTAAGATGAGTTGAAGTGAGGTGAGGTGAGATGAGGTGAGGTGAGGTGGGGTTGGGTGGGTTGAGGTGATGCGAGGTGAGGTGAGGTGATGCGAGGTGATGCGAGATGAGGTGAGGTGAGGTGAGGTGATGCGAGGTGAGGTGAGGTGAGGTGAGGTGAGGTGAAGTTTAATGGGATTTAACGTCGCGTTCAAGAGTATTTCCCTTATTTAGCTACGTGCATGATCGTGTGGCTGCCTGTACTTTCCCGGACGTATGCCGACCAGTTCTACTTTTATATCCTTAGTGCCGAGCGCCAGGCAAGGTAACAACAAGTACCATCGTTTAACGTCTTTTGGTATAACGCGATTTAAAGCGGCAATGAATCCACTGAACCCAACTCACTCACTCACTCACTCACTACACATCAATCGTATTACTGGCGTCTCACTTATATATAACATTATACATTTTTAATTTAATCGTAACGTAACACACAAACGCACAATTAACACACGTAATTGTTACCTGGTTCACATTTGTGACGATTGTCGAGAAGAGGAGAGGTCCGGATCTGTGGAATAAAAAATATGAATCTGTATTTGAATTGCAAGGACAGCCGATTAAACCGAGAGTAGTCTCCCTTTAAGCAGTATGTCCAATACAAGCAAGTACTATGAGCAATGACAAATGCTTTCGCAGTACCGCTATAAAGAACCGATCAGATCACACTGGAGAGCTGATCCCCTCTGTTGACACCCGATGTAAGACGAGGGCTGTTTTGTGCACACAAAATAAATGTAATTCAAGAAATGAACAAGACAGGAAATTATTATAAAAGCTATCAGATATGTTCATAAACTGACGGGAAAAAGAAAGTATACATATGTCCACCCATAATTGATGGTGACCAAAACTGAACAAACAAGAAATGGTTTTTCGATGGGGAAGTATTTGAAACGGGTATCATAGGCGATATTATATGCATCATATCAAGGAGTATCTCACGACTGGTGACGTGTACATGACGTCACAAGGAACAAGGATTCGCAGAATCACAGTTAACAGTAATGAGCAGAGTGAAGCGTGAATGTTCAAGTGTTTACAGTAAACAACGGTTATAACGAACACGCTTATAACGAACTTACGGATATAACGAACTTACTTTTTTTTGGTCCCGACTATTTGTTGTAGTTATGCTGTATATATGCTTATAACGAACTACGGTTATAACGAACTAAAATTAGTAGTCCCCTTGAGTTCGTTATAACCGTACTTTACTGTACTTTCTTTTGCCCGACAGTTTGTTTATCAACGAGAACTAGTGTTTGTTTATTGCAATATCTGCATGTTATAAGATTTGTGACAGCACTTAGTATACACGTTACCAAACTATATCGAATGGGGATATTTGAGAGTTTTTCAGGAAGCATTTTTGAAATATTTCAGCAAGCTAATTATTAGTAGTTGATAGAAAGACAGCATGGAAAAAACTCATGTTGAGTCAAAGATTTGAACATAGCTATATTTTCTCTTGAAGTTGAAGAAAATAACTTGATCTGGCCAAAACGTCCAAAACATTCAAGTTTAAGAAAAAAAGGCTAAATGTTTTTGTATAAGTATACGTTTTTTAAGAATACAGTAAACTACGGTTATAACGAACACGCTTATAACGAACTTACGGATATAACGAACTTACTTTTTTGGTCCCGACTATTTGTGTTAGTTATGCTGTATATATGCTTATAACGAACTACGGTTATAACGAACTAAAATTAGTAGTCCCTTTGAGTTCGTTATAACCGTACTTCACTGTAATTCAACATTTTCTGTTTCAGATTTTCAGTGAGTGAAAAGGTCCTTATCCTTCCTCGTGCACGTCAGCCATTGTTATGAAATAAGTCTGTAAGAACTTTATGTCGGTTCTTACAATGCAGTATTTTGAGGACATAAGATGTTCGGGAATAATTTGTTTCATTGTCTGTCGGTGCTCGGTCCCGAAATTTCAACACATATTGTGTTAGCCGTGTGACTGCCTTTACAAGTCTACTGTACGGCAACATATATAAAGTGTGAGTGAGTTGGGTTTAACGCCGCTTTTAACAGTATTTCAGTTATATCACGGCGAGTCAGCTTTATGTGGGAGGAAAGCCCGAAGTCATGCAGGTCTCAGACGTTTACCACTTCCCCTAGAGAACGGGTATGGCGCTGACAAACCTAGAAACATAATCGGGTCGAACCGGGATTCGAACCCACAATAATAGGTATCTGGCGTGCCTGAGGGATGCAACTCTGCACAGCGAATCGCGGCGCCTTAGACGACTGGGCCACTCGTGCCCCCCTCAACATATAGAGGTTATTATACAAGCATGTGTGTCATACTGATTTTACGAAACGAACGTCAAAATTATTGTATGTCCTGAGCGAGAGCGAGGGTAATACATGAATTCTTACACCTGTTCAGTCAAATCAGTATGACACAGTATGTGAGTGTAATAATTTCTTTATTATCCATTTTTTCTTAATCATTTTGAGCTCCCCTTTAGAAATATGCACTGGTCACCACCGCTGTCCTTGAAAAACACAATTTGTTGAATAGGCTATGTCTTCTCTAGTGTGACGTCATCCCGACCTTACGTCGCAATAAGATTCGAATGACGTCACCATGCCGTCCAGATGACGGAACCAATACACTGGTGCTCGAGAAGTGATATTTGAACTAGTGCACATACGATTTTTATGAACTCGGTTATTTCTAAACCCTATGAGTAATCAATATATCTAAGCGTTCTCGCTCTTAGCATTACGGCACTGCCATAATGACCTACATATCCAGTTACCGGACTGGTATTATGAACAAAGGGGGATAACTCACAAGTTTATTCTGAAGAAGAGCCTGCAAATCCTGGTTAGATGATTTCACACAGCATAACCCGTTCTCCGTGCGCCTTGAGTCCACCCCGGGTACTCCATCCTCTCCACAGGGTAGGCATACGTTGCTTGACAAGTTCTCTTCGGGGTTGCATAACCCGTGCATAACGGGACCAAACACGACGCCGACCAGGGCTGGGATAGCGATAACGTTAAGCCCAAGGGAGATAACCACAACGCATTTTATGACACAGGACGTATTCTCGCTGATGAGGCGTTGGAAATGGTGCCGCGTCTTCCTGTATTTATATTCCTCGGTGATGTAAGGCGCTGTGGGTTCAGTGCTGCGCGACCTCCTTGTCAGAGGGTGTTCCGTGGACAGAGATAAAGGGGTACACGGTGTAGCTGGCCTTGACCTCATGGTAACCTCACGTGACGGTGACGGAATTTGACGTTGATGGATCTTTGCTTCAGCTTCTTATAATTTTACAAAACTCCCTGGAAAACTGAAAAAAAATATAGAATAAAATGTGAAAGGGACAACTATGTAGAATTGTATTTGTGAAAAGATTGTCTTTTTTTCACGGACTTTAATAGTGAAATGAAAACCTTGTCGGTAGGTTGAAAAAGATATTAATAAAATGCAGTGCACAGGATTTTTCTATTATCTAAAGTTTGATTTGGATCGGCAGGTGTGATTAAAAAAAGAGACTCTGCTGAGCATATTTGCTTGGTTTGGGACCTTAATAAATATTGTATTTCTTTGTCATTTTTTTAAAGCCAAAGGGACCATATGTTCTCTTCCTTATGTATATCACTTTTAAATGCCTTTCAAAGACCTGGGGCTATTACCGTTACATGAAACAAATCCTGTTTTTTATTCCGTTTTATCATCCGGGACAAGGTACATAAAGACCAAGGCAAACAAACTACTACAAAAATAAACAATGAAACACTATCCACTTACTGCATCCTGAATTTCATATTCCTCTTTTTATGAATGTCATGAAATGAATTAAGGAAGTGAAATAGACAATGCCACAGCAAACACAACACTATCAATAAATATTGTCAGTTGAACAAGCACACACACCACACCTTTTCCTATTAAAAAAAAGTCTTCCCTTTACCACCCCCCCCCCCCCCCCCCCCCCCCCCCAATGGAAGACGTCCGTATACCACCTCTTCCTGGTACTCAGTGGGCTTACCAGCCAGCTCTATCCAGCATTATAATTTACCGTTACTTTTGATTTGACGTTGCCTGGGGGACCCGGTCGATCAGTTTCCTCCCTAATTTCCCAGTTCGCGGTTCGAATCCCAGATTGGCACTGATAATGACCCTAGGTTTGTCAGCACCATACGCGGGGTATCACTAAACTGGTAAACATTTGAGAACCGCATCACCTAGGGCATTCCTTGTACATTAAATTGAAACGCAGTTGAAATAGAATATTGTTCAAAGCGGTGTTAAACCTAACCTACTCACTCACTTATAGATCCCTACGCCGACGTCATGGTGACTATCGAATATCTATGTCGAATTTCCCTTGTTTGAAACCAGCGGGTGGCGATGGTGCCGATTAGAAAACTGAGAACCCTGAATATATGTATAAACAGCGAGTGCCAGTCTCCGCAGCCATTGATTCCGGTAGTACTATATCACCTAAATACCGATTATGGAACGGAATTAACATAATTATTAACCATTTTATCATTGTCATGCCATGTCATGTTAATGGAGGCTTTTAACGGTTTCAGATCAATTGACTATAACTATACGCATAAATCTCTATAAAACGGAACCACATATACACCCAGGGGGATATTTCTTACCCTCTACATGTTAACACCAGACAATTTTGTAAATATCTTTTTTAGAAAGCTTTGGCTTTCGTGCCATAGGGTTGAGTGAGTGAGTGAGTTAAATTGTACATCGCATCGGCAATATTTCAGCTATATAGCGATGTGAGGCATTTATATTATATATTAAAAGCTGTCATCGAAGGACAGTACAACAACCAGCAATATATCACAGATTATAATTTTAAAACTAGTTTTAGAGCAATAAAATAATCAGATACAATACAAACGATACAATATAAAAACGGGCTGTAGATCGCCAGCAACCAAAGTTAGGCCACCATACTAGGGACCATGGGGACTTACGGTACTTCTGCTACCTACATGGTACCCCAGCAGGATTTACACCATCCCTCTGGCCACTGGCGATTATCAGACAGATGAGCCAAAGAGTTAAAATCAACAAAAATACTACGATTAAAAGCACAGAGAAAGGAAATTATACGTTGAATGATACTGGGGCCATAGGGTTGACTGTTTTCGAACTAAATCAAAGTTTGTGAATAAGCTATTCATGTTTTTTCCTTATTCATCCAGTAAGGCATATGCTAGATAAAACACGTGTCCTGCAAACACACACCATGCTGCACTTATGAAAAAGGGCGTTTCAAAATAGACACTGATGTTTGCTGGCCTTGTTTCGATATTAAATATTTCCTCGTTGTTCTTACATCTCTGGCGTTTCAACGCTATGAACTTTATACGCAACACACACCACGAGGTCAAGACATGTCTCATAAGTTGTCATGCTGTCAAGATCAATAGATATAGTTTGTATATATGCATTAAACCTCAGTATCAACTTTCTAAATTACTTACTCGTTACGGCTGTTACAGAACACAACCACAGATCGACAAGATGGAGACACAACTTAATCCATCACCAGCCATGTATCATTCTTTTATAGAAGGTAATGTCACGTGACTAGGGGAATTCCCTATTGAGTCAGAGCCTCGACAAGAATTGTATACATGCATTGTGCATATCAAGCGTCATAGACAACCTGGAAACCCAACAACAAAAAATTCCAGACTGAATTAGGAAATTATTGTCTTACTATGATTGACAATAAACATTTTACGAAAACAAGAAGTAAATACATATGAGGCCAGTTGAACAAACAAAATTCCACATTCAATTTATTTCTTATTAATGCGAAACACTTCCTTTTTAATTTCATTCATTCTTCTGTTTGATTGAAACGTACTTTCCCTAGGGAACGGAAAGGATTCAACTCACAAAGAGCCATAAACTATGCGATGTATTATCACTTTAATTGTGAACGCCAGAAACCTATGATTGTGGGTTCGAATCCCGGTTCGCCCTGATTATGTTTCTAGGTTTGTCAGCACCATACCCGTGCTCGTGGGTTTCACCGAAGTGGTAAACGTCTGAGACCTGCATCACTTCGGGCTTTCCTCCCACATTAAGCTGACACGCCGCGATATAACTGGAATACTGTTAAAAGCGGCGTTAAACCTAACTCACTCACTCACTCACTCACTCACTCACTCACTCACTTTAATTGTGAAGGGAGTGTTTTGATCCTGAGGGGGGAGTGATCTGATCCCAGGATAATTTCTCAGATTGTGTCAGCACAAGGGTCAGGTCTAGGACAGAATCACCCTGGAGTGAAACTTGAGGGGGTTGATTTAACCCGGCCATTGACAACGTAGTATAACCGGTTCGATTCCCCAGATTGGTACAATGTGTAAAGCCCATTGACGGTGTCCCCGCCCCCGTGAAAGCGGCGTGAAACCATACTCACTCACTCACTCACTCACTCACTAGAAGTCAACATATATTTTTGCAGTTCATCTTCGTTAATACGGACTCCTTTAGTAGGGATATAATGTTTCTGTTATTTTACGCCGCACTCGGCAATATTCCAGCTACATGACGGCGATCTTGACCAGATCTTGACCAGACAATCCAGTGATTGACATCATAGTACCGATCTATGCAATTGGGATACGGTGATATATTTTGTTTGTTTGTTTATTTGTAGTTTAACGCCGCACTCGGCAATATTCTAGCTATATGACGGAGGTCTGGAAATAATCGAGTCTGGACCAGACAATCCAGTGATTGACATCATGAGCATCGTTCCACAAAATTGGCATACGATGACATGCATCAACCAATTCAGCGAGCCCGTTAGTCTCCTCCTACAACAAGCACAGTCACCCTTTTCCGGCAAGAATGGGTTGCTGAAGACATATTCTACCCCGGATCTTCACAGTGACATTGTATTAACCAAGTCAGCGAGCTTGACCACCCGACACTCTTACGACAAACATATGCTTATAACGAACTACGGTTATTGCGAACTAAAATTAGTGGTCCGTTTGAGTTCGTTATAACCGTAGTTTACTTACCTGTTTGTAATGAGTTGGAAATATACCGCTGTATTGAGTCTTATCGCTCATCAAACACCTGCTGTTCATTGTGTCGGTCATGTCTCCGCTGGTATTCCGGGTTCGAATTCGTCCCCAACAGCCTATGGTGGTCGTAAGACGCGACTTAATGGATCGAGTGGTCAGGATGGCTGACTTGGCTGATGGCCTGTGTCAACGTACCCCGACTAAGAGGATCGTTACTCGTTATACCTATCACTGGATTGTCTGGTTCAAATTCGATTATTTGCGTCATATACATCATCTGCCCGTGTTTTAATGCGAGACGAATCGGCTGGCAGCTGCATATTACCACAGCTGCAGAGATAAACTTGCTTAACAAAAAACAATTAATGCTTTAAATAAAAAGAAAACAGGGAAAAAAATATGTACGTATTATGTATAAATGAACGAAAGAATAAGGCAGTTGATATGTACCACATAAGGATCCGGCTGATGCTAAATATATAGTTTTGTTTTTTTAGTGTTTTTTGTTGTTGTTTTGTTAAGTTGTTTTTTGTTTGTTCGAAAATAAAATAATATAGAATGTATTGTACAGGATTTGAGTACTCATCTTAAATATATTTAAAAAAAATCTTGGCCTGTTTTTTTTATGGGTAGATTATAACAAAAATATAATCATGGTCTGGTTTGACTCCTTATAAATATTATACACTTAACATCTGACATCATTGCATTGTCTTTTTATTGTCAAACGACCCTTACCGTCGGCGGCATAAAAAAACTTATCTCTCTGATTGTATTGTTGTTCTAAATTAGTAAGGTCGGCGGATCCGGAAACCAGACAATGAAGGCCCAACACCGTGTCTGAGGAAACTAGAACGTCACGTGACATATAAGGGGAAGTAATCTAATGAACCGAACTTCAACCACGATATGCTTCAAGAAGGAAACGACATGCTGCACAGATTGATCCTAAGATGGGAATCGAAACCCCAAGACTACACCCATTGCCCCCATTTCTTCAAAGTACCAAACACTTTGGTCATAGACTCATAGTATTAATAACTAAATAGATTTTAATTTATTTCGTATCGGAACCGCTCCTTCTGACGACGGTGTTGCTTCCCCGGCAGACGGATATTGAACGCTGAAGATAATGCATCTTCATCCGCATGTCTCGCATGCACGTATTTTGTTAACTTGTGTTATTAATAAACACAGGAATTTCACAAGTGGTTAAATATAATGTGGTCTTGTGTCGATGTATTCTGTGGTCAGATGAATACGTCGTAATATAAGAGATAGCAGGATGCGTGGACGGATGATGACGTGTACATCAACTGAGGATGAAATTAGGAGGAATTTCTCAAACTGGGTATTATTGTTGACAATCGATGTCAAAGTGTCAACAAAACCCAAGTGAGTTTGCGGGGTTAACGCTGCATTGAATAGTATTTAGGAATATGGCGTACCAGCTAAATGTGGGAGGAATTCCCAAATTGACGAAGGGCCTGAGCAAACCAAGGATACTAACCACGGCGAAACTTAGAATGTAATTCGCAATCAAAGGATCCTATGACGATTGCCGACCCGCGATCTTTGGTTTTAAAGTGGTCAACGTCGAAGATCTGAATCACTGTGGGCTTTCCTCTCACATTTAGCTGACACGCCGTGACATAACTGAAATACTGTTCAATGCACAGCCTAATAGATACATCTTGGAGTATATCAATTGCCTTGTATATTGTAAACTTGTATATATACCATGTAAAGATTAACCTAGCATAAAGTGGCTCCAATGCAAAACTATTATGAAAAATTGATTAACTTTTGTAATGTTCAATAGAATTTTTCACCCGGAAATGTTGTTTTGAGAAACATTTTCAAAATCACAAGCCGAAGTGTTTTTTGCAATTATATCAAAACTGAATTACAGATGTGAATATTCATCTTCCCGAGGCAAGGGAGTTCACTTGCTTTAAACGTCCAGTGAAAATCTGTGCTTTTAAAGTCAGTTGACTCCCTTGCTTCGCAAAGATGAGTGAGTGAGTGAGTTAGGTTTTTCACCTCGTTCCAGTTCAATGTGGGAGGAAAGTCCGAAGTGATGCAGGTCTCAGACGTTTACCGCTCTGGTGAAACCCACAAACCCTCTTACGTCAGGCAGAGTCGTTTCTTATGACAAGCATAGTCGCCTCTTACGACAAGCATAGTCGCCTCTTACGACAAGCATAGTGACCTCTTACGACAAGCATGGTCGCCTCTTACGACAAGCATAGTCGCCTCTTACGACAAGCATAGTGACCTCTTACGACAAGCATGGTCGCCTCTTACGACAAGCATAGTCGCCTCTTACGACAAGCATAGTGAGCTCTTACGACAAGCATGGTCGCCTCTTACGACAAGCATAGTCGCCTCTTACGACAAGCATAGTGACTTCTTACGACAAGCATGGTCGCCTCTTACGACAAGCATAGTGAGCTCTTACGACAAGCATGGTCGCCTCTTACGACAAGCATAGTCGCCTCTTACGACAAGCATAGTCGTCTCTGTCACGTCAGCAACACTAGAAATGACCCAGGGCATAACAATGTGGTGTCCGACAGGCTAATGACTGAACGCCATATTGCTTGTTCAACCATTCAGAAAGAGTACATTCAACATGGAAATGTGTTGAAATATACCCTTTGTTATAAAAATGACCTCTAAGTGAAATTCGTTTCGTAATCTATATAAGGGCAATGGTGTAGCCGATTTGTGAAAACGTTCGCTCGTCACTCCGAAAACCCAGGTTCGATTCGTGAAGCCCATTTCTGGTGTCCCCCGCCATGATATTGCTGGAATATTGCTAAAAGCGGCGTAAAACCGTACACACTCACTCACTCACTCGTAATCTATAGTTTATCCAAGACCACATTAGTCCGGACACTCCGCTAAGCGGACGGTTACTTCTGGCAACGTACGTGACGGGACAATACGGCGTACCCATGACTGGTTAATCCGGACACTGGTTAATCAGGATGATTTCTATCGCAATGGTTCCGTCCCTATTAACGGAGTATCACGATAATGTACGTAGCTGGTGAACACAAGAAGGAAAAGTGTTTATCATATAACGGATAGTGATATCGATGTTACAAATCAATCCGATAAGCCCAGTATCACGATCTGATAAATATGCGAATAGGGTTCCCAACCAGGAACAACTTTTAAGCGCCATTCATTGATCCAATGCCTTTTTTCTAAAAAAACCCTGTTGACTGGTGATCCTCGTCTGTTTGGATACGTATTTCCCAATGTGTCACCGTGATTCTTAAAAACAAACATGGCTGTTAGTCATGTGGCACTATATGATGAATTGGGCGACTCACTCAAACATTGTATTCATACGCGTTTTCTAAAGCTACTTCGTGTTAAACACCTAGTTTGTTAAGAATGGCTTTACTTGTTTATGGTAAAGAGATTAATCCCCTCGTGAGTTTATTTGTCGTAAACATCACGAATAAGGAATGTGTATTTCTAATTAGAGGATAAACCTAGGAAAT